GTGAATATTGGGGTTGTGGGGGGGGAGGGTGACCCTATGGAAACATGGGGGGGGTGGGAATCCTATGGAAACATTGGGGTTAGGGGGGGCCCTATGGAAACCTGCGGGGATGGGAGCCCTATAGAAACATTGGGGCTGGGGGGGAGACTGTAGGTAAATATTGGGGGTGGGAAAGATTCCATATAAGGCACCGCAAAGGCGACCCTACATAAACACGGCGGTGGGGGTGGGGGGGAATAAAACCCCGTATTAATACCGCTCCATTGCCCCCGTCACGTGGCCACAAGCGGAGCCTCCCATTGGCTGAAGTCTTCGGGCGGCGCTGATTGGTTGGCGAGGCTCACGTGACGGCGGCGGCGCCTGGAGAAGAACGCGGAGCGGCGTTGCGCGGGGTGAAGCGCGGGAGCGCGGTTGTCATAGCGACGGGAGCGGGATCGAAAGGGTGGGGGGAGGAGCGCGGGGGTGTCGGGAGAACGAGGAAAGGGCGGGGAAAGGGGAAGGAGCGGTTTCCGGTGTGGCTGAGAGAAAATTTCCGGGGTTACTGAACGGGTTTCCGTGGTTACCGAGGGACTTCCGGTAGTTTCCATGGTACTGAGGCGGCTTCCCGGGGTACTTCCGGTGTGTCGGCTGTTTGGATTCCCAGCGGGATTTAAGTCGTTATAGAGGTGCATCCGGTGTCACGGAGGTGGTTTCTATGGTTACCGCGGTACTTCCGGCGGCACTGATGTGACTTCGGGTCTTGCTGCTTCGGCTTCCTCTTGTTTTTGAGTCGTTTCCATGGTTTCTGACGGACTTCCGGTGCAGCCGGTGCACTTCCGGTGTCACTGCTGTTTCCATGGTTACGGAGGTGTCTACCGCTAATTCCCAGGCACTTCCGGTTGCGCGGGGCCTATTTCCGCTCCAGCCTTACTGCAACAAGTCCCGTGGTTCCCGCGCCGATTAGCGCTCTTACCCGCTAACTTCCGTTAACGCGTTTCCGGTTCCCGCCTCCCGAAGCTTCCGGTTCCGCCGCCGGCCGCCATGCCGCTTCCCGCCGCTCTGCAGTGCCGCTTGGCCAAGCGCGGCCTGCTCAAACACGTGGAGCCCGGTGAGCTCGGGGGGGTGGAGCCACCGGTAGAAAAGGGGGCGTGGTCGTTGTGTGGGCGGGGCCAAATAATGATGGCAGGGGCCAAGGGGGGCGAGAACGGGAAAGCGTAGCTGGAGGGGGCGTGGCTTGGAGCGGTGGGCGTGGTCTGAACGGGGGGGTGGAGTTAAGCAAGGAGCGTGGCTACGTTTATTTGGGAAAGAACGACTGGGTGTAAATAGGGGCGTGGCTTCGTGGGGGTTGTGGGCGGAGCTTTTAGAAGGGGGCGTGGCCTAAGAGCCCTGTACTTGGAGTCAATGGAGGTGTGAGACTTCCGGGTGTTGGGGGCGGGGCTTTTAAGAGGGGGCGTGTCCTGAGTGGTCATGGTTGCTGTCAATCAGCGTGGCTTCGTGGCCTGGGGGC